CTCTGTCACACTCAGGCTGGAGTGCAGTGGCGCGATCTCGGCTCACTGCAACCTCCACCTCCCAGGTTCAAGTGATTCTCCTGCCTCAGCCTCCTGCGTAGCTGGAATTACAGGTGTGTGCCACCACGCCTGGCTAACTTTTTATATTTTTGGTAGAGACTGGGTTTCGACACGTTGGCCAGATTGGTTTTGAACTCCTGACCTCAAGTGCTCTGCCCACCTCGGCATCCCAAAGTGCTGGGATTATAGTTGTGAGCCACCATGCCCAGCCACAGGCAGTATCATAAGAAGACAGGGATGTCAGGTAGATTTTGTTTCACTCATGAACTCTATGCCTTCCTAGAGTGCTGCGCTAAGAAGAGTTCTGAGGTAGTGTCTGTAAGATGTGGAGTGGGGGATGGTGGCATCAATGCCACTTGTTTTCCCTCCAGATGGTAAATTCTTACTCTTTCTCTGCCTAAACTGACCGTTTCTTCGCCAGGTTTTGTGTATTTTAGCTTTTAAATATTTTTTATATCTGATCCTTGATATTCTTCTATATTTCATTATTTCTTTCTCTCTTTTTTGTGTTTCCTTTTTTTGAGACAGGGTCTCACTTTGTTGCCCATACTGGAGCGCAGTGGCGTGAGTATGGCCACTGCACTGTAAGCGAGATCCTCCCACCTCAGCCTCCCAGGTAGCTGACCGCAAACATGCTCCACCACACCCAACTAGTTTTTGTAGAGATGGGGTCTCCTTAGGTTTCCCAGACTGGTCCTGAACTCCTGACCTCAAACAATCCTCCTGCCTTGGCCTCCCAAAGTGCTGGGATTATAGGCATGAGCCATCACACCTGAACTATTTCATTATTTTTCATTTGGACTTTTATGATAGTTTGCTAGCTATTCTCCTTCCTTCAGTCACATATCCCATCAAAAGACTGTATGGTGATGCCATTGTACTGTACAGATGGAGTGATATTTCTCCCTTTAAAGACCCTGTTTCCTTCTGTGTGATGAAGCAAAGATCTTTCAGTGTGACATCCAAACCATCCATGTTTAGGCCTTTGTTTCCCTCTCCAGTGTCATCATTCATTGTTCCCACCTTTTCTAATCTATGCTTCTGCCAACTATTTGCAGTTCACTCAAAACTGTCTTCTAAAACTAGGTTGCATTTTATTTCCTTGCCTTTGCACATGCCATTTCTTGTGCCGGTGGAAGAAGAAATAAGCTAGGTAGGCTGGCAAAATTTTGTCTCAAAAAAGTTTTTTTGTCGAGGCTGAGGCAAGAGAATGGCGTAAACCCGGGAGGCGGAGCTTGCAGTGAGCTGAGATCCGGCCACTGCACTCCAGCCTGGGCGACAGAGCGAGACTGCGTCTCAAAAAAAAAAAAAAAAAGTTTGTTTGTCATTCACAATAGAATGAGCTGTTCTCTCTCTCTCTTTTTTAAATTGTATAGCGCAGTCACTTTTATTATGGTATCTACAGGTCAATGAATTTTGTCTTCATACTGATTATACTAATCTTGCCATCTCCTCCTCATCCTTCATTGACACACTAGACTGCAGTCTCTCTGAAGTCAGAAATTGGTCTTGTTGACCTGACTCTCCATTTCCTAGCACAGGGATTGGCACAAAGTACATGTTCAATAGTTGGAATAAAAGAGCCTCTGTTTCACATATAAGGAAACTGAGCCTGAAGGAATAAGTGATTTCACCAGTGTCTCATGGTAAAACTGGGATACAAACCAGTTTGTTGTTACTCCAGATGCAATATTTCTTTCATTATACCTAGCCTATACACTTTACAAATAATGTGCTTTAAGTTAATTAAATGTTCTTTCTGAATATAAAAATTGTGATAATGGAAATCTCCCTAGCAGCTTAGATTGTAAATTTAAGAGGATAGGAACTGCTCAGTTGTCTTTGGTTTATAGTATTGCTTTCAGTCGAATAGGCTATATTTTTTTGTGATTGAGGGTATAGACTATGACAAGCCAGTTGACAAGCCAGTTGACACAATTGACAATACACAAATTGTGTATTGTTTTCCATGTTGCATTGATGAATCTCCTTTGAATATTAGAAAATAAGAGACAAATAAAAAATGTTTTTTATTTTCTGATTTTCTTTTTTTTTTTTTTGAGATGGAGTCTTGCTCTGTAGCCCAGGCCGGAGTGCAGTGGCCGGATCTCAGCTCACTGCTAGCTCCGCCTCCCGGGTTTACGCCATTCTCCTGCCTCAGCCTCCTGAGTAGCTGGGACTACAGGCGCCTGCCACCTCGCCCGGCTAGTTTTTTGTATTTTTTAGTAGAGACGGGGTTTCACCGTGTTAGCCAGGATGGTCTTGATCTCCTGACCTCGTGATCCGCCCGTCTCGGCCTCCCAAAGTGCTGGGATTACAGGCTGGAGCCACCGCGCCTGGCCTATTTTCTGATTTTCTAAGCGTTTGTTCTGGATATTAAAATTATAGTTGAAGGCCAGGCGCGGTGACTTGTGTCTATAATCCCAGCACTTTGGCAGGCCAAGGTGGGCAGATCACCTGAGGTCAGGAGTTTGAGACCAGCCTGGCTAACGTAGCAAAACCCCGTCTCTATTGGAAAAAACACAAAAATTCGCCGGGTGTGGTAGCGCAAGCCTGTAGTCCCAGCTACTTGGGTGGCTGAGGCAGGAGAGTCGCTTGAACCCAGGTGGTGGAGGTTACAGTAAGCCAAGATCGCGCCATTGCATTCCTGGGTGACAGAAGAGACTCCATCTCAAAAAGAAGAAGAAGAAGAAGAAGAAGAAGAAGAAAAAAAAAAAAAGA